TTCTACACTAGACAATTTTGAGGTGAAAGCGGACAGATATGAAGACAAATTTGAATATGATATAAAATTGGACATGGAGTGTCTAGTACAAGATCTAACATGTTTTCTAATGGAAATATGATCATCTATATCAGGATATAAAATACGACTTTCAAAAATAGAGTTGGACTTACCTTTCTTATTCTTAGGAGGTTAATCATTCCCCAATTGAGATTTCTAAGAGTTTTGAGATGTGGACTCATCCCTTCCTTTATGGTGCTTTTTCACAAAAATCTTCCTTTTCCAAGTCCAGTTTCCTAATTCAAACATGTTTTCTTGAAGTTACTAATTATATTGTGGCATTTCAATTAGATCATCATTACCATCGTTTTCAGGATTCACATTGTTTTCTACATGAGAAAATATAGGCACAGATTCACAAAGTTCCTTACTCATAACAGGAGTAGGATCAGATAAAGAATCATGGTTATTTTTTTGTTGGTGCAGAAGTATAAGTCTCATAACTTTGTGGTATAGGAAAAGATAGATTATTAAAAAAAACTTATGTCCTTGATTTGAAACGAGTCTTCCTTTATATCCCCCTTGAAGACGAGTGTCATAAAAAAAGGTTTATTTTCAAAGAATGTAATGTCTATAGTGACAAATATTTTCTTGTTTTTTGGATTAAAATATTTATATCATTTTTGGGTTGGGGAGTATATAACAAAAATACCTTTTATAGTACGTCGTTCAAGTTTTCCAACAATTTTATGTCCATGAACAAAATTCGTGCAACCAAAGATTTTTAATGTCAGATCAGTTAAAACACGAGTACTAGGAAAACATTCTTTGAGAGTATTAATTGGAGCTTGAAAATTGAGAATTTCGGAGGGAATTCTATTAATTAAATATGTAGTTGTTAAAATAGTTTCGCCCCACAAATAGTTTGGTACTTTACTTGAGAAAAGTAGAGCTCTAACAATCTCCAATAAGTATCTATTTTTCCTTTCGGAAACTCCATTTTGTTGAGGAGTATTAGGACATGAACTTTGATGTACAATCCCATTTTTTAGGAAAAAATCATCCAGGATAGTGTTAAAATATTCTTTGCCATTATCACTTCTAAAGACTTAGATATTTGTTTGAAACTGGCTCTGCACCATTGTAAAAAATTCTTTATAGCTTGAAAAATATTTGATTTCCTCTTTAACAGGTACACCTAACATACTCTTGCACGATCATCTATAAATGTGATGATAAACTATTTTTTAAGAGAGAGTGTACTTGTACGGTTAGGGTCCCAAATATCACTGTGAATAATACAAAAAAGGTTTTGATGATTTATAAGACTATATTGAAAATTTGCGATGATGCTCTACAAACTCACATACTTCACATTTAAACGAAGAAAGGTTCTTATTATAAAATAACTTAGGAAACAAGCTGAAACAACGGGAAAAATTATCGAAATAAAACTCAATGAAGTCGCCATAGAACGTATTTTATTCCTCCGAAAGGGAAAGGTAAACATCAAGTAAACCTAAAAGGGTTAAATCACGGTCTTGCTACCATAGAGATCGAGTAAGGAAGTCGATTACACGAGGGGAAGGTATTAGCACCCCACAAGTCTGTGGTACTCCACAGGATCCACTTATGTTTGTTCTAATCTAAGGGTGTATAAAATCTACGCCTAAAGCTTAAGAGCTAAAAAGCAAAGATGTAAAGGGAGGAATGAATGCAAAAGAGAAAACACGGGGAAAAGAAGGAAATATTACAAAGGTCGCTTGGCTGAGCCCCGTGACCAGATGCCTACGTATCCCTTTTAAGGAATCAGAGCATCATAGTTCGGCTCAAAAGTTTCCATTTGTTTTGTAATTTTTAATGAAATAATATTAATTTCGCCTTCTGCCACAACTCGACCTTCAGAGATTCAGGGTCAGCATAGAAGTGAATTAACATTTTCTTTTGAAAGTTTTGAAAGAAAGGGCCCGAAGGCGAAAAAGAGTTTGCATTGGTTGGTGTTTTTTGTTGCGGATAATAGCTAGTTAACCTCAAGAGAGAGATATTAGCCACTTCTTCACTTATCCATGAAAGGAGTCTTTGAGACTTGAACCACACCAAAGCCTAGAATGGAAGAACAATAAGATTGAGAAGAAACTTGTTTATCATCTCCTATACTCAACAAAGGTATGATTCTCATCAGTAACTTTTAAGTATTTTGAAGTTTGAAATAAAAAGAAGTTTTTTTGTTAATGAGATGCAAAAGAGAAAGAAAAAGTCTAAGGGGAGACTATCAAAATAGCCCTAAAGTTGTCATGCATTGTTGATCCTATAGCTGAGGATAGGAGAGCGGAACATCTATCTAATGTTGGCATACATGGATACAAGCCTAAGGTCTATTTCAATTCAAACTTAGAAAAGAGTAAATTGAAGATCCTATGGGGGAGCATACGAGAGAAGAGTCTAATAAAGAAGGGAGAAGGGATGACAAAACATCACACAAAGAGCTGACAAGACATCAAGAATCATGTATCAAGTATAAATGACAAAACATCTAGCATGAATGGTAAAACATCATGCAAAGGTGAGATGATAAAACATCATGCATGCATCAAGATGTCATGTATCAATATACGAGAATGAGAGATAAAGAGAGGCATGATAATAACTAACGGAGAAGGTCCATTGCCTCTTCCATGTGCACGAGATAAGAAAACTCTACTGAATTCCTCCTTGATTTTCCTCCATCAACCAATAATTAGGCACCCGGGTTGCATCAACAATTGATCGCAAAATCATAGCACAAGTATCCACAAGATAAATGGAGTGTTGGGTGTAGGGGAGTTGAATCGGGTTATGATTAACCAAGGGCTATACTTGATTAATCTTGTGAGATTATGTACTCCTACCCTCAAACATGAGACCCTTTTGTGCATGGAATACTTGGTATATGGACCAAAGTGATTGATTCGGGTTATGATTAACAAAGGGAAAAACTTGATTAATCTCGTGAAAATGGCCATGCCCAAACTCAACTATGAGACCCTTTAAGAAAATTCTTGGTATATGGACCAAGGGGAGAGAAGAGAGTTGCTTCAATGCATAAGATAAAAATCAAGAGCCCATACAAGGTGGCTATATGCATGCTCCTAAAAAGTGAGGACTAGCATGATGCTAGTATTCTAAACGACCAATTAGATCAATTGATCGAATAGTTGTCGTCGTAGAAAGCCCATGACCAAGCTATGAAATATGTGCAAGTATGCATGTGTAGGTGGATACCTGCTCATTGATGAGGAGCCCAAGAGGATGCCATGTGTTTTAATTGGATGATACATGCATACTTGAGCAAAAATTAAAACATACAAAGAAATAAAATTCTATGCTATTACAAACCATATGGGGATGTGGATACAAGTTTATGAACGGGGATGTATCAAATTGACAACATGATTAAAAGTCTAAACAAACAAACAATACAACCCAATCAAAATTAATTATACAACTAATTAAATTTAACCATCTTATTTGATAAAATTAATTAACAAAATAATTAATGATATCAAATACCATTTTTCAATCTAATTAATTGTTTGAAACAAAAGTATATATTTTTTATTTTTAATTTCTAAAGAAAAATATTTAAACAAATAATACAAAAAGAAATATAAAGAAAAAGATAAAATTGGGCATAAAATCAGCAATTGGGGGGGTGTTGGATAGCATTTCATTGGGCTTATGAACATTTGAGCCAGGTTGTCAAAAAAAAGCCCTCTACATGATCCTGTGTGGCGAGTTCCAGGGAGTCTACGGTAGAAGTGCGCAGCTATAACGCTTGATCATGATGATGAGATCTGATGAAGATTTGACAGCTGCGAGGGTGAGGGTGCATCACATGCTAGACAGAGAACACACGTGAGATTATGTGGCTTACCTCATAAGGAGTGGACTGTGGATGTGAAGATCTGAAGCATTGATTTGTAAGGATGACGATGATGATTGATCTCGCAATTGAAGAGGCAGGGTGCATGATAGCTATGGTAAGGGTACCTGCACTGAATCAACAAGCAGCCACAAGGACATTGAAACTTGTCACCTCCGGATTAGTGACATAATCCAAAATTAATTAACAAAATAATTTTGTTAAACAAACAAAACAAAACATCATTCTCCTCTCACTCTCGTCATTCTCTTTCTTCTCTCTTCCTCTAGTGCTCGCCAGAGATGAAGACATGGCCGTCACACCAGAAATTTCCTCGTTGCAACGACTGCGGTGGCAAGCGGAAAACTTGTTATGATCTCTAATTTTCTTGTATCATTAAATTTGTCTCTTTATACTGAACACTAATCTGACATTTTATTTTGCAGATGCTTGACTATTTCACATAGGTTTTAAATAGGGGAAACAAAACCCTAAGTGCTTATGATGATGGAAACTGATGACGATGATGAAGGATCCAATCTCTAGAACATTGAGACAACCTCTCTGAAGCAATATCAGAGGTTTTATCGGTGGAGAATAATGGTGACTCCTTCCGGCGATGATTTGAGATTCCTCCTTCTCTTCTCTTCGCGACGGTAACTGTATCTCTCTTCTTCTTTTGAATTCGTTGATTCAAATCTTTTCCTCCTCTTATTTCTTTGATTTTAGGAGTTTGTGCCTTTAGGAAAATGATGACGAGTTAGGGTTTGTGTTTGAAAGCTTCTTGCGGTTTTGTGATATTTGTGAATGAAACTTGATTTCTGAAATACTTTTCTGGAATTTTGGATATGATTGAAGATGAAGGTTGCAATTTGAGAGTTAAGATGAAAATGAATCATGAAGTTGAGAGAGCAGAGAGAATTTTGTGGAGATTTTTTTCTGTGATTCTTCTAGAATGTGAAGAATGACTATGAACAGTGTGAACTTTCTGTTTTATAGTTCTGTTAGAGATGAGAAAGTTAGTTAGGGATTGAGACAATCTTGGCCTTTAAATGCTAAAGTTTGTTACAAGGATTAGAGGGTGAGGATCGATTAAAAATTAAACTTGTTTTGAAAGCTTTTTGTACTGCTTTGTAATCATGATGATCTTGTTACTGCTTTTGTAATAACTTGCCTTTTGAACCTCTTTAGTGAACCAAATGTTTTTGAGATTTGCAATAAAGGTCATTTGGCCTATGATTAATCTGAAATTCTGATTATTATTAAAACAATGAGGCCTTATTGTTGTATTTAAGAACATGATTGATTCAAGCTCCATAAACCAAAACTGAGTCCTTTCCATACCCTAATGATGAATTGAGAAAAACTTTTTTCTTGACAAATTCTTGGTTGTGCTCAATGTTCTTGATTGCTTTGATTTCTTACTAACAACTTTCTTTTCTCTTGTTTCATGAGGTGTTGGTGAGGAATGTATGAATATGGCAAGGCACAGTAGAAGGAAAGGTCGTGGCTAGCATGATAAAATGGAGGAGTTTGGAGGAAATCTTAAAGAGGAAGAAGTCTTGGAGGAAAGTCAAGGGAATTGATGCAATTTGGATCTTCAAGTGACTTGATCATGGATTAGTTTCTCTTAGGACAAATGTTCATTTGATTTTCTTTGTAATTTAGAAACATTCCTCTTGTAATTTGATGAAATAGTTTAGAAGTTAGACCATGTAAAAAGGTTTGAATCCTTCTCTTGTATGTTTGAAAATTTAAGCTCATGAACACTTGAAATGTTATTGTATCTTTTGTGTCTTGAATGAACCATGTATTAAAACGAAACTTGTTACATTTGAATGGTAGCATGAATCTCGAATGCAACATAGAACTTTGATCAAAGAAGAATTGCATTTGAAATTTGCCTTGCTATGAATCTTAGAACAAAATCTTTAAATTCCTGCTCACCTCTAAACTTGACAAAATGTCAAGATATTCTAAGTAGGAAACAAATGGATAAGATGATTTCCCTCCAATATCATTTATTTAAAATCCAACCTCTTTATGATTTTCTTTAACCAAGGATAACTTCTAACTACAAGCCCAACATGATGCACTCTAAAAGCCCAAACATTTTCAATAGTTCTTGCATATCATACTTCAATATCTATCCTTAATATGATTGGCCCAACAAGTAGCCCAAATAAAACATTCTTGATCATTAGAGACCCAATGGAATTCTCTTAATAAAACCCTCAATTAATCTTTCTTTAATTAATGAGCCCAACAATGGTAACTTGTCCTTGAAGAATCTTTGAAAAAGATGAGAATGGAATTAAAGAAGAAAACCTTTAATGGAACTCAGTCAACAACTAAAAGTGTACTTAGATGATACTCATAATGGAGATAATGATTCAAAGAATTCTGTCAAGAAAGACATCACACATTTCAGTGATCAACAACTCTAGCCCAAGAGCCAATGGATAGGAGGAAAAATGTAATTTAGTTTGAAATAATTGCAAATCCTGAATCTTTTGATGAAACAAAGAATCAGTTAAGATGTCTCAAGGCCTAAGAAGCCTCGATAGCCCTAGTTATCAACATAATGAGGATATGAGACCCTCCTCACACTGATCGATAATACAACCATATTCCATAGTTTGTAGAGAACTTGGAACCGAAATACCTTGATTACATATAAAAAATGTATGAGTATGTATGATGAAACATAAGCCATACAAGGTAAAATGAATAGGGGAAATTTTGGGGTGCAACACAAGTGTTTTAAGTAACGAAAACTAGGATGGCCTAATCTTAAATGACATACCATAATATTTTCATCTTTATTATTCAAAACATAAAAATACTAAAAGTAGGAACTTATTTTTTTTAAGGTAGTTGTGATGCAGGTCCAATTACAAGGTAGTAGAGATTGGGAAAAAAATTAGCTTGACAATTTATATCTTGGGCTAATTTACTGATGGACATTAAATTACATGATAAATTTGGAACATAAAGAACATTTTTGAGAGTTAACATTGGAGACAACACAACTGGCCCTTTATCTGCAATGGTTGAAAAGGAGCCATCTGCATTTTTTATTTTTTATTACATGCACATGGACTATAAAGAGAGAACAAAGTAGATTCACCTGTCATGTGATCAGAGGCACCTAAATCTATTATCCATGTATGATTGGGAATAACACTAAGAAATACAAAATTACCTTTTATTTCTATAGAGCAAGAAAGAGTTGGAGACTCGAGGAGTTTGTATAGTTTGTCTAGTTGTTCTGTAGTGAGTGGAAGCTAAGGTGAAGAGATTTTATGCCCTTGAACAAAATTACTATCCTTAAATGAAAGACCGCATTTCTTCTTCTAGTTAGGAGGTTTTCCTTTGAGCTTCCAACAAGTTTCACACGTATGCCATTCGCGCTTGCAGTGATCACACCAAGGAACTTTGTCTAACCTTTTTCCTTCGTCAAGGTTCCTAGTAGCCAAAGTTGACCCTTCACATTCAGAGCTTTTTGGTATCTTTCCCATTATAATAGTTTATCGTGCCTCCTCCCTTCTTATTTTTGCAAAAGTTTCACGAAGAGTTGGCAATGGTATTTTTCCTAGAACTCTACCCTTTACCTCATCAAGGTATTTACTAAGCCCAACAAGGAACATGAAGACACGATCATTTTCCTGCCTCTTGAGAAACATAACACTATCTTCCGTACACCTTCAATTATCATCATAATAGAGATTCAACAATTTCCATAAGCTCAAAAACTCATTATTGAAGGTGCAAGAAATACAAGAAATGGGGGTTTGAATTGGGTTTTTAGAAATAAAATCTTTTTGAAACCAAGCACTTTAAGTTAACACAAGAAAAAAAATAAATGAGCATAGTCATTTTTATCCTGGTTCACTGTTAATGACGTTAATCCAGTCCACCCACAAAGGTGATTTACCTTTCTCAACAAGGACTTACTCCACTATAACCAAACTGATTACAGACACAAACAAAGACTAAACGTCAATGTTACAACCACAAAGACTAACTACCAATGTCTTCTTGAGAATCCTGACTAAAGCCGTAGTCTATCAAGGAACAATAAACTCATTGTTGAATAAAAGTTTGTGTGTTTATAAGATTGCTTTTTGAAAGAAGATTACACATAAATGAAGTACATATAATAACACAACAATGTTAATAGCAAGTTAATGAACAATAATTCCTTGCTAGCAAGTTTACAAACAAAAGTTCCCTGCTTTACAAAACTTTACAAAAGATTTACAAAGTAATCTCAGTAGCATTTTAGCAATTTGAATCAGCGTAAATTTATTGTTTTCCAATTCATCCAAGTCTTCCTTTTATAGCCAAAATGAAATCTGTTGGAGAGTAGAATAGGAATACCAAAATTTATAGTTGTCTTCTAGCAACGGTCACTGAGAATGGTAGACAACATTGTATCAATAGTACAGTCCTTGCACCATAAAAACAAGGTAGTGGAAGGAAGTGATCTTGTATTATTTCTCACGCAAACCTTTTGATCTTCTCTTATAATCTCCAGAGGCTTCGGAATATGTAAGAGTTGAAGCATGCTTAGAAGGATAAAAAACCTTGTCTTCAGAACCATGTCTTTAGAGTCTCCAGAACTTGTTCACCAGAACCTTGTCTTCAGAGTCTTCATCACTTAATCTTTAGAGTCTTATCTTCAGAATATTCAGAACTTATTCAACAAAACCTTGTCTTTAGAATCTTCAAAACCTTGGAGCAAGAGAGCTTGGAATTTTCAGAGCTCGAGAACCCTTAAGAAGCACTTCTTTCAGAGTCACAATCATAAGCTTTAAACTAAATTTCATCAGAACCGTTGTCTTAAAAGCATTCTCAGTAATGACATATGCACTTATATCTCTTAGTGTGTTGAGTCCAGAATCTGATGACATCACACGTCAATTCTTCAGAGTCAGAACCTGTTAGCAAAAGCTACACACTAAACAAACCATTAGTGTACTAAATTGTCATCTAATCACCCATGTAATGTCATCATCAAAAGTCAAGTCCAGATAGAACTAAATCTTGTTCTTACAATTATAATAAGCAGTTAGACTCCTGTCACCTTGCTTTGCATGTCGTAGCTTTGATTTTAAACCAAAAATTTGTGAGGAGTTTTGAATATTAGGGTATGTTTCCTTAACAACTTCTCATACATCCTTTGTATAAGGCAAAAACATGTAAGGGTTACTGTTGTACCCCAAAATTTTCCCTCCCATTTCCTCAACATTTTCTCATCACAAGACCCTGGGAACTCAAGATCCAGTTAGGGTTTCCTCTGCTCAAGACTTCTCCTTGCACTGTTGACCCAAATTAGGGTTTGTGGTTGCACAAAGATGTTTTGACCTAAAATGCCTAAAGTGACTTTCATGCTTCATGATTGGACTCCCAAGTTTATCCATACCAAGTTTCAAGTCTTGATCCCAAACTTTGCCCAGTCAATTGGACAGTTGACCTAGAAATCAGCTGTATTGGAGAAAAAGTCACCTGTGGCCAGTTGACAGTCAAACCTCATGTTTTTTGACCCACATCAACATTATGAACTCATATGGACCATTTGATCAAGTTTGGATCACCATTCCACAAGAAATTTGATCAGATCACCAAAAGGGCAAAATGGTCATTTTTAGGGTTTTGACTGCACAAAGGCAATTTTTGACTGTTTGACCTAGCCAATGGCAAACCAAGCTCACATATGGACTCAAGGACCCAATGGAATTGTATTGACATGTTCAACAAGTTCAAAAGATCCCAAATGCACAAGATTGACAGATGAATTTTCCAATCAATTGATCAATTTTTGACTGTATACTGAAAAGTCAAACTTTGACTTTTTGGTCAAAATCAAGTGTCAAGATTCATTTTTCATCAAAACATGTCAAAATATGAAACTTGTTCATCAAGAAACCCAAAATTGCAAATTGGGGTTTAAAATGAAGAATTTTCATAACTTGGAATTTTTCTAAGTTATGAAAATTCCTAATTTTTCCCCAACTTTGTCCCATTTTTTCATCAAAATGCATTTGGATTAAAACAAAAGTCAAAACATGAAAGTTGTAGTCCATTGCAAAATCTACAATTTTGATTCACAAAGTTTCCTCAAAAGAATCTTGTAGCTCAAGTTATGATTTTTGGAACAAGGGGGCAAAACATTCTTAACTTAGAAAAATTTTGACCTATTCTAGGCAGGATTTTTGCCTAACTTCATGGCTACTTTTCACATGCTTCCACTTGGAATTTCAATTTGCATTACGAAGATGTATTGTAGTACACATTCCAAGCTTTCCAAAATGTCTAAGAACTCATCAAACAACCTTGTGGTTAGGGAGAATCGAATTTGGCAATATGGGCAAAACTCACTTTGTTCATGGCCAATTTACATGTCCATAACTTTGCATTTTTGAACTCAGCATGCTCTAAGCTAGATTACAGGTCTTTTATCCCATCCACACTCATAAATTTAATGCCAATCCTTCATGTTTAAGTCTTACCTTGTGTGTTTAAGCATTGCATACAAGATTAAGCCTTAATAAGAAAAAGCATATTATCCATTTTTGTAAAGTGTTACTTTATGTCAACTTTGCAATCTATGAGGTACAATGCAGATCTTTGAGGCACAAAGGCATAGACATATCCCACTAATCAAGACTCAAATGTGCAGCATAGATAGAGGCATTGTACTGGCCTAGAAACCAAGTTGACATTTTCTGGCTTAAGTGTGAAGAAACTTGCATAACATACACCAACTCTCATTGCTGCAAACCTAAGCTTAGACAAACTTGTTACACACATTCTAAACAACATAACTGAGCTCAAACACGAGCCTATCACCTTCAATACCTCCCCATTCACAGAAACACCATAAAATT